CCATAACCCTTCTCCCCTACATCCTCTCCAACCCAGAGAGCCAGTGGGGGTGGCCCTCAGCCCCTTACCCATGGCCCCCACCTCCTCCAGAGTGGGCCCAGTCAGCTTTAAGTCCAAGCCTGTCAGCATGCTGCCAGGCTTAGCCCCCTCAGTGGCTCCCCTCCTCAGGAAAGGAGCCATGCTCTGTGACAAGGACGCCGGGCTTTTCCTGGTTCCTCTGTCCAGACATAGGGCTCGGGTGAGCCCATCACCCCACGCACATCCGTCACCCCTGCACATCCGCTTAGTTCCCGGCTTTGAGCAAGCCTTCTCTTCCTGCCAGGCACACCCACTAGACGCAGCCCACAGCTCCCCCCGCCCCCCTGCAGAGCCCTGGCCTTGGGTTGGGGTCCGTGGACAAGGAGCACCTGAAGGGGTTACTCAGCCTGCCCCTCCATCCCGAACAGCCCAGGAACACCCAGCGGCAGCTCTGCCTTGGACAGAAAAGCCTCCAGCCACTCCCCTGTAGCCTTGGGGTGACCACGTCCCACAGCGGGGGCTCCAGGTCCTCTTGTAGTCTTGCCCCGTCTCTCCTGCTGGGACTCCCAGTCGGAACTCCCCAGAGCTCCTTTTCCTCCCACCTACCCAGAATGGAGTCCCGCAGCGTCTGGGCAATAATGGACATGTCATCTACATCCACCACATGCAGGTGCTTCTCGGGAGGGGCTGAGGCGGCGGCCGACAGCTCCAGGCGGTTGCCTCGGCCGGTGCTGATGATGAAGACGGTAACACCCAGGTCCTTGAGCTCCTGCATGGGGGGTCCCACGGGGTCGCTGGAGCCGCCATCTGTCACCCACACCAGCACTTTGGGCACCCCTGGCCGGGCACCGGCCTCCGTGTCAAACAGTTGCTTCTTGGCGTAGGCCAGTGCCCGACCAGTGTTGGTGTCACCCATGCGTTGGGCTGCAGCCCGGATGGCATCCTGGACCACCGCACCGGAGCTGTGCTGGCCGAAGGGGAACTCAGCGTATGGCTGGCTGCCCACGTGCACCAGGCTGGCACGCAGGGCTCCAGGGCCCAGGGGCAGAGGGGCTGCCAGCTGCCCCAGGAACTCCCGAACTCGAGAAAACTCGTAGTGAGACACGCTGGCTGAGCTGTCCAGCAGGAAGAGCAGGTCCCCTTGAGGGGCTGATGCGGGGAGGCCTGGAGAAGAGAGAAGGGATCAGCTCTGGCCACAGGGCCCCAGACCGTCCTGCTGAGCCCCTGGTCTGGTCTGTTCCACCCTGAAGGCCTTGGGAAGGGAGATCTGAGCCAAAGCAGGAGACCTGGTCCCCAGTGTCATTGGGGCAGCAGCAGCAGCAGCAGCAGCAGGGGCACTTTCTAGGCTATGTCCCATATGTACAAGGAGAGGCCCACACCCTCCCTTCCCCCACTGGCCCATAAGTCCTGGGTCGCCATTCTCTCTGCTGTCCTGCAGGGGTCTCAAGGCTGGGCTCAGGTCAACCTTGACAGGAAGCAGCCCGTCAGGGGGCCAGAGCATTGGCCCCAGCCCTTCTTCCCCTCCCAGCCCAGGAGGCCAGGCAGGGCTCAGTGACTGCTTTTACAGATGATGTCACCCCTCTATGGGCCTCCATCCTCCTCGCCATCTGGACCCGGGAATCAGTACACCTGCAGCAGCCGTCCCAGTGCCCCAACACCCCCTCTCGGGCTTCCCACCCGTCCCCAGCCCTGCCA